GCTCCGCCCTTACCCCTGCATCCCTTGAAGGCATTTGAAGCTGTGAGTTTTTCTTACGAGCCAACGCTATTTGTCTTTTAAATGTTCTCATCATTCTTCAAAAGATTAAAAGATTTATTTGTGTATTCATGTGCCTGTATTTGGGTATGAGTGCAGGTGCCCTTGGAGGCCAGAAGAGGGTATTAGACCCTGCCTGATATGGGTGCCAGGGAGAACAGCCAGGTGCTCTTGAGAGCTGAGCCGTCTCTCCAGCTCTCCTTGTGGTTTTTATAAACCTTCTTTTCACACGTTGTTTTAAATTAAAAAGATTATTTATTTTATGTGCACTGGTGTTTTGCCCGAGTGTATGCTGTGCAAGGGTGTTGGATCATCTGGAAATGGAGCTACGGACGGTTGTGAACCGCCATGTAGGTTCTGGGAATTGAACCTGGGTCCTCTAGAAGGGCTGTCAGTGCTCTTAACTGCTGAGTCATCTCTCCAGCCCTGAATTTCCTTTTTGTATATTTTCTGCCTAGTGGTCTGTGGCAAAGGAGAAGACCGAAGTACTGATTTAATTGGTTATATCGATAGCACCATCACTTATTTGGGTTCCCTTCTCCTCTCCCCTCCCCTCCTCTTCCCTTCTCTCTGTCTCTTATTCTCTCCCTCCCCTCTCCTCCCCTTCCCTCTTCTCTCCTCTCTTCTCAGCCCTCCCCTTTCTTCTGTCCTCCCCTCCCCTCCCCTTCTCTCTGTCTCTTCTCTCCCTCTCCCTCCCCTCCTCTCTCTGGTGCTGAGGAATGAACCCAGGATCCATGCTTGTCTGACAAGCGTTCTGTCACTGAGCAGCAGCCCAGCCTCCATCTTTTTCTGTGTAGACATTTGTCAAGCATTGACTGGGACTAGAAATATGAGATACATTTCAAAGCTGCAAGCCAGACAGATGTTCCTTTTCATCATTTCTTCAGGAAGGGCAGATGTAGCAATGGCGACATTTTCTGGACCAAAATTGGGCACATGTACTTTGCTATGTGGTAAATCTTGGCGGGTCGGGGACAGAGCATAAACTTGCAAGCATGGCGGTTTTGTTTTGGTTTTGGCATGACCCTGCTGCTTTTCAGATGCTATTGTTGCACTGGGGAAGCCCCATGTGTTCTATTTGCTTTATCGTCACCTTTGCTCTGCAGGTATTTGTGGATCCGAGGCTTGTAGATTCATTTCCTCTGTTTCCTTTCCCCTGATGGACTGGGGAGAGAACCCAGGGTCTCGCATTTGCTGCCAAGAACTCTACCATTGAACTAAATTTCTAACCTCCCATGCTTTGTTTGGTTTTTGTTTTTCTGTTGACTGTTTTCTGGAAGGTCATAAGTTCTTAGTGTGCCTTTTCTAGTAAAACGGAAGTCGAGGGATATGAGGTATAACAGAAAAACATTGAATTTTTTTTCTTTCTTACATTAATTTACCAGGATTCTGTGACAAGGCCAGGTGGCTTAAACCACAGAAGACCTGCAAATCCACAATCAAAGCGTTGGCAGGTTTGGCGTCTCCTGTCATCTCTCCAAGGCTTGCGATGGTCTCCTTGTAGCTGTCTTCATGTGGTCTGCTCTCAGTGTATACTCTATGACCCTTTTGGTGTAACCAAACCCCGCCCCCTGCCTTCTTCTGAGGAAGTCAGTCAGATTGTATCAGCAGCATCCACTCCTACATTATTTCAACACGATCTTCTCTTTAATGGTTTCATCTCCAAGAATGGTGACACCTGAAGGCCCTGACATGATTTGTAAGATGACACAATTTATTCCCTAATGCTCCTTGAAATGAAAAAGATTAAACTAGCGTTGAACCTCAAAGATTTGATAAAAGGTGCTTGGTGGCTTAAAGGCTTTATGTCGAGAGCAGATGTGACCTTGCCTGGTTTTAGAGACTTATGGCCTGATCTCAAGAAAGGTTAGGTTAGCTTTCTGCACTAAGTCATTGTTTGTGCATGTCCTCAATATGTATTCAAAGATTAGAAGACCAGAGAGAAAGCAGGGTAGGAATTAAATCAAGATGAAAGCTAGGCATACGGGGAATGATTAGGGTTTTCAGTGACCAAGCCCCAGGGGAGCATTTGTACCATTGTTTATTTACATAAAAATTGCCAATTTGAAAAATCTTCAGGAACTTTCTTTTTTTTGGAAGGGGGGGCAGAGTTCCAGACAGGTTTTCATTGTGTAACAGCCTTGGCTGTTCTGGAACTAGCTCTGTAGACCAGACTGGCCTTGAACTCACAGAGAACCACCTGACTTCGCCTTCTGAGTGCTGGAACTAAAGGCATGCGCCACCAATGCTCAGTTGAAGAACTTCCTTTTGTCCTACGAAAAAAATCCCTAAATTCCACGGTGTCCCACGTCATTGCCCCTAGAGCTATTCCACGGTGTCTCACGTCATTTCCCCTAGGGCTAGGCTGCTTGCTCCCCTCTGCTGGTCATCTCTCAGGACCCAGCTCATCTGTGCCTGGAGAACTCTTCAGTTCTATTTCCCAACATCAGCTGACCTAGCCTCAAGCTCCACCTCACTTCCCCCAAGGGACTGTTCTTTCTCATCCAGCCCTGGGCATTAATCTTCAGTCATTATAATTCTTATCTTAATATATTACAAATTTCCTGGGGACAGAACTTGTTTTTGTTGCTATGTCAAGAACCTGTATTGTGTCTCCAAGCCTTCACTGCTCAGGGTGGACTCCAATCACCGACAGGTGCCAAAAATATACCTTTAAGGTGACCTCTCCGGGTTTGCACAGGACTCATGAGTTTCCTGGAAGGTGACTTTCAGTGTTAAAATTCCAAAGTCCCGAGGCACTGCCAATGCTGTCCAACCTAAGCCATCAGTTTCCTTGGATTCCCATTGGCATTTGAATCGGTGGCTCAGAGTACCTCAGCAGAGCTGAATTGTAGTAGAGCATAGAGGTCTACTACAGGTACAGGATCATGTAGGAAGAGACTTTGGGACTGTGCCTCTAGTCACACCCACTTTGTTGTTACAGGATCATGTACTTTTCTTAGTTTCTCTTTTCAGTTTGTCTACTCCACTCTAATTTTAACATTACTTCCCAAGACCACCTCCCAAACAACTGTGTGCCTTGAAGTCTGCTTCTGAGAGTAGCCAGTCTAGAGGATGAATGTTTCTTCTGATTAGGTGGAGAGGGAATACAGTTCTTACTTTTCTCCATGCTGTGACAAAACACCAAACAGAAGCTATGCACTGGAGTAAGGATTTATCTTATCTCATAGCTTAAGAAGGGGTCATGGCAGAGAGGCCTGGCAGGGGCTGAGAGACAACCAGTCAGTCAGTGCATGGGAAAACAGAGAGGCAAACATTGGCACTCACCCGACTCTCTCCTTTTCTATTTGTTCAGTTTGGGATCTCATTCAGGGCACCTCCCTCCTGGTGACCCTCTCTGCAAATATATTAATAGATATATCCAAAGGTGAACCCCCAAATGCCAGAGGCACTTCTCAAGCCAGTGAAACTGACAATGAAGATGAAGTAGGCATGGTGAGGCAGGGCTTGAGATGAAAGGTATGGGTTGAGAGCTGGTTTCAGAGATAAGGTATTGCTGATACAGTTAAAACAACAAGGTGACTTGGGCTTTTTGGGCAGATAAATCTGGGAGCTGTGAACTTGGGCCAGGAAGAGGTGAGGAAAGAGGCCTGGTAGATAGTTTTCAGAATAGGAAAAGAATGGATGCCTAGGGTTCACGTAGAGTTGACTGGGAAAAGAGTGGATGAGTAGGCTTCATGTAGACTTGTGTTGAGAGAACCAATTTGTCGAACCTGCTGATAAGTTTACTATGTCTGACAAAGGGGTTTTTACTGGTATTTTGGAAAGGGGTCTGGAGGAAGAGAAGATTTAACAGGTAAGAGAATGGTTGGAAATTGAAGATGCTGAGAAGAAACAAGTTCAATGCTTAAGGGGTTGCGATACAGCCAGAGCACATGCTTAACGTATAATAGGCCCTGAGTTTGGTCCCTCAAAGGAAATGAAAAGCTCAATGCTCAGACAAAGGATGTATGTAAGAAGTCCAAAGGTGATTCTAAAAAACATTTTGTAAACTTGACTTTCCTTATTGGCAGTTTGGAAACAGATCAGGCAAGTGTCTCTTAGACATCTACCCAGGGACCAGCACCATGCCTGGCTGCATACTGTGCTGGTGGTTCACTATGGGAAAGTGATGGGAGATGTTATTCTGTGTATGTTTTTCTTATTGGTTGATAAATAAAACACTGATTGGACAGGTAGGAAGATAGGTGGGGCTAGGAGAGGAGGAGGATTCTGGGAAAGGTAGGCAGAGTGAGCATACCAGACAGTGTTGCTGCTGGAGGAGTTAATAGTTAAGACAGAGCTAGCCCATAAGAAGCCTTAGTCATCAGTCAACAGTTATTAATTATGAAATTAATATAGTGTCTGTGTGTTCACTGGGGGTTGATAAGGCTGTGAGACCAGGCTGACCGGAAAGAGTGCTTTTTATAGGGAAGCCTGTCTAGAGCCTGGGCTACAGAACTTGAAGAGTTCTGAAGTCAGTCTTTCTTTGGACAGCCAGCTCCCAAACAATGACATGGAGACTTGTTATTAGCTATGGAAGCTTAGGCTTTCTCCAAACTAGCTCTTATAGCTTACCCAGTTTATATTAATCTAAGTTCTGCCGCATGGCTTGTTACCTCTCCTCCACACTGTATGCCTGACTCCCTCCTTGTCTCACTGGCTTAATCACATGGCCTCTCATTCTTCTTGAGTTCCTCTCTCTCCCTGGAAGTCCTGCCTATTCTCTCCTGCCTAGCTACTGACCATTCAGCTCTTTATTAAACCAATCAGAAGGTGTCTTAGACAGAGACACATCTTCACATCGTACAAAAAGATTATCTCACAACAGGGTTCTGTATTTTCTGGAGAGTTTGGAGGATGATGGAACACTTGTCAGCGATTTCATGGAGGACCCAGTAGAGCTCAAGTCCTAATGTGTTCCATAATTGTTGTCTTCACAGGTCTCTCCAATGGCTGCCATGTTCAGGTCTGTCCCACAGATCTTTAGGGGCCGTCAGTGTGCACCAGGCCCTCTCTCAGCAAGAATGCTCAGCAAGATAGCAGATGAGAAACGTCCCCTGGCTGATAAAGTGGCTGTGATCACTGGCTCTACAAAAGGGTGAGGGAACGGAAGCCCTGGCTGGCTCGTTGCCGGGAGATGCTTCCCTGGTCCCCATGGACACACCCATCTCACACATCCCTGCCATCCTCCGCCCCACCACACATCACACGGCTCTGGTGTTTAACTCTGCACCCCTAAACTATCTAATTTCTGAGCTCCATGAAGGTTTGTAGTTACAAAACCAGCTGCTCTAAGACAATCAGGGCAAGTGTGAATGTAGGCTCTTCCCTTCATTGGTGGGACGATCCCTAATGAACATTTTACCACAGAGCAGCATATCTGCTTTCTTGTCTTTCATACCCACATGGCCACTGATTTTTGAGCCCTCCGCTAACAGAAAGAAGCCTGACAGCTATTGTGCCTTAGACTCAGAGGTCTCATTGACTGCATACCGCATTTACACCAGGCATGTGCAGGGCCATGTCTTGCTACCAGCTCAGAGTGGTCTGTGTGCCCTCACATGGCTTCCCACCCCCCCCCCAGTTCCAGTTGTCCTCTGGCTCCTGTAATAACATGCATGGTAATGAGTCCTTGCCATCATCAGAAGGGGACACCGTCATCTTCTTCATCTTTTATGGTGTTATATCACCAAAATATTTAGAACTGTTTAGAATCACTGGGGAAAACAAGAACTAGATTTTCAGATCCAAGTGACGTCTTTTTGTATGCTCCCAATCCAATTCCACTTAAGAGTCTTCAGACCTCCTCAGTGTTAGGAGACCTAGAAGATAGCACGTCCTCCAGCAGAAATGTTTTAAAATCGCAGACCAGAGGGAAGGCATTGGGTTCAGAAAGAGTACAATCCATGCCAGACCCCTGAGGCTGGGGAAGAGAGTAACTATGTTGACTAGTTACGAAGAGTCTCTAGGCCTGATAACCAACAAGGCTACAACTCTTCTTTTTAAAGTTCCTTTTAATAAAATGTGAAAATATCTTCCTACACATAACGTGATTATCATGCACAAAGCTGTGAGATTGGAATGAGTAGATTGTGAAGGACTGGCATGTGGTAGGTACTCATCGACTTCTCTTGAAGCCACTCCCGGGCAACATCAAGGAAACAATTGATGTGGTCATCAGGGTCTGCCTGGGAACAGGACAGAGGGGCTGAAACCATCACCACCATCTCTTCTTCTGCCCACAGGATTGGTTTTGCCATCGCCCAGCGTCTGGCCCAGAATGGGGCCCATGTGGTCATCAGCAGCCGGAAGCAGCAGAACGTGGACCGTGCAGTGGCCATGCTGAAGGAAGAGGGGCTGAGTGTGACAGGCACTGTGTGCCATGTGGGGAAGGCTAAGGACCGCCAGCACCTTGTGGCCACAGTAAGGAGCCACAAGCTGGGACAGATGGAAAGACACTGATGTAACCCTGGCTCTAGAGGGCTGGGGTCTCCAGGTCTGTTAATGAGGCTAATCCCACATTCTCAGGACAGTCAGATGTGACTAAGAGATTTCCTGACCAGAAGGAACAGCTGTGCTGCTCACACTAATGAAAGAGATGGCCAGTGGTTGGGCATGACTGAGCAGCATGCCTAGAACCTCAGAGGGGCCAGTGATCTATCCCCACAACAAAGTCTGAGTTGTGTAGGCCTGGCCCAACATGTATTGTATTGATAGTCCATGAGACTAGTCTCTGACATAAGAGCTTTAGGATCAGCTCCTATTGTGAGTACCCCAGAAGAAGTGAATTGTGATCCAGGATCTGAAGAAACTTGGACCAGATGGGTGCCGTAGTAGACAAGGGATGATCCTTCCAGGCCAGAGAAGAGAGCAGAGAAGGAACCAACTAGAATTGAAGAGCCAAAAGCAGGGCTCCTAGGAGCAAAGGTCTGGAAAGGTGGGACCCAGGGACCAATCAGATGTCTTACAGGGCAGAAACTAGATGCATCCAAGAAGGTAAGGAACACCATTTTATTCAGTCTTGGTCAGGATCCGGCTCTGGCCTGGCACAGCCCCAGGATGGCCAATTAGTCACTGCTTTAGTTTCTGCGGTCACAATCCCTGACAGAAACAACTTAAATTAAGGTTTCTTTTGGTTTGTGGTTTCAACCCATCATGCCGGGGAAGGCAAGGGTATGGAAGTCTGTTTCCATCACAGCAGACTGGGAAGCAGAAAGTGCGCAGGCGCACTGTGGGCCGGTGTAACTTCCAAAGGACTGCCCTCAGTGACCTTCTGCAAGCTTGGCTCCGCCTCCTAAAGGTCCATTGCCTCCCCAAACAGTGCAATAGCCAGAAACAAGCAGATACGAACCTGTAGGGACATTTCAGACTCAAAAGGTGGCAGCGTTTCCTTTGGGTCGCCACTCTTTCCGCCATCCCTTCACCTGCATGCCCTATCATTTCCTCTGCAGGCCTTGGAGCACTCTGGGGGCGTTGACTTCCTGGTGTGTGTGGCGGGCGTCAATCCTTTGGTGGGAAGCACCCTGGGAGCCAGCGAACAGATCTGGGACAAGGTGAGAAGAGAGCTGCACACACCCTACATGGTGTTCCTATGTGCTCACCGTGGCACGAGTGCGCGTGCGCATACCATGCCTGAGTTCCCGTGTAGCTGCATCCGCACTGGCTTTGATGGATGGAGATGGGGCTGACCTGAACCAGACCTTCCATAATTAAGTTCAACGGGTGTTGGCCACACCCAGTCTCTACTAGGTTCCCCTAGCTTCTGTGTTGATTCTCTTATGTGGGTCACTGCTACCAAGTCCTGAGACACCCAAAAAAGATTTCTGGGTCTGGTCATGGCAGAGAGACTCTCAGGTTTATGATGCTGTCACAACCTGGATTCATTGGCACCACTGTGAACCCTTCAGTCTGGCTGTTCCAAGGAGCCACAGATAGCTCACAGATGGGGCTCTTCCCTGGTTCTGCCATCTCAGCTGGAAGTCACTGGGCACTGAGGGAGCTCCTACTGCCTCTGCAGACCCCCATGCCTGATATCCCTGAGTAGTCACGGCCGAACCCCTCCCATCCCTGGGGTGATCTGAGTGGGCCATCCCCTTCCTGTGTGTCTTCCCCCCTTGGCCACCCTTCCATGTTCTCTTGGTGGACCCCGCCCTCTGTGGCTCTCACGCTCCACAGCTTCTTCGATCCACCTTCCAGTTCCTCCGCCTCACCCCTCAGCCGCACTCAGACCTCCCCAGCGATTTCCTTTCTTTTCTTCTTTTAAAAAGATGTCTGGGGTGTGCTGACTCCCAACACTGCATTAATGCTTAATTCACCCTAACCCAATCAAAATAGTATTCAAAACACAAACACATGAATGAGCAGTACCATCCCCGGTTCTAAACACTTGGTGAGGCAGACTAGGCGCTGAGTACTGATTCCTTACCTTCACCAAAGCTCCCCCTTTCAGCGGTCATTAGTTATCAAGGTCCTCTCCTTGCCTTCCCCGTGCCCCCCCAGGTTTTCTCCTGGAAGGCTGTAGTGGAGGTTGCATGGGAGCTGAGTTCGGTATTCTCTGAGGCCTGGGGGACTCAGGGGCCTTAGAAGTTTGTGTGCCGCTGACAACCTCTGATCCAGCTGTAGGGCATTATCTGAATAGTTTTGGATGAGGAGGGCCCAAACCATTGTGGGTGGTGCCATCCCTGGGCTGGTGGTCCTGGGTTCTATAAGGAAACAGGATGAGCAAGCCATGGGGAGCAAGCCCATAAGCAGCCTCGCTCCATGGCCTCTGCATCAGCTCCTGCCTCTAAGTTCCTGCCCTGTTAGAGTTCCTGTCCCTACTTCCTTTAACGATGAACAGTGACATGGAAGTGTAAACCAAATAAACATTTTCCTCCCCAACTTGCTTTTTGGCCATGGTGTTTCACCTCAGCAAGAAAACCCTAACTAAGACTCCCTAGCACGTAGTAAAAGGTCTCAGGGTCTCAGCTACCCACCACTAATGGAGCTTTGTTCCTGTTCCGGCTCCCAGACAATGGTGTCCGTCTCCCAGTCCAACCTTTGTATTATTTGGGGTTTCAGATCCTGGATGTAAATGTGAAGTCCCCAGCTCTGTTGCTAAGTCAGCTGCTGCCCCACATGGAGAAGAGGGGGTGAGTGCACATGGGGGGTTGGTGGGGGCCCAATTACTGCCCCACATGGAGAAGAGGGGGAGAGTGCACATGGGGAGTTGGTGGGGGCCATATGCATTAATTTTTACCCACAGGAAATACTGAGTAGAGGCCCAGGGAGTCGAAGGAGTGTGTGTGTGTGTGTGTGTGTGTGTGTGTGTGTGTGTGTGTGTGAGAGAGAGAGAGAGAGAGAGAGAGAGAGAGAGAGAGAGAGAGAGAGAGAGAGAGAGAGAGGAGAGAACAGGCCTTGCTTTCCATATCCTCAAAAGACCCTCCACTGACTCTCATGGCTTCCGTCTGGGAATAGAGGGGCCTTGCTTTCCGTGACGCTGCGGTGGCAAAGGGTCCAGAGTGAAGCAGCCTGGGGTCCCCATCACTCACTCCCCACTCTTGTCCTGCTTAGTAGGCCATGTCACTGTTTCTCTCCTGGTCACAGGCACCATGGGCTCCCTTCCCTGACCTGCTATGCAGCCTGGTCCCTTTGTGCATCCTGTGCCTACTCAGGGCTGATCAAGGCTGGGACCCCTTAGTGGTCTCTTGACGCCACAGAGGTCCCTACAGCATGCCACCATCACTCAAGTTCTGGCTCTGGATGTGCTGCCTGTTTGGGGGCCCTGTTTAAGGGTTGCCCCTCTGCTTACGAGCGGCAGTGACTCGTGAGGTGACCGAGAAATGGTGCCTCTTTCTCAGAGTTCTCAATGGTTGTCTAACCCTTGACATTTTTACCATGAACTCTGAGCTGCTTTTCTCTCAGTGGGAAAAGTTTCTTGCCTCTTTTAATGGACTGAATCTCTAATGTCACTCCGTATCCCTTTCTCCTCAAGGGGGAGCAGTGTTGTCTTGGTGTCCTCTGTAGTGGCTTATTTACCGGTGCCCGTGAGTATGGTAGCCTCTGGTCAACTGGGTGAGGGCAAGCGGCCTTGACTTCTTGTGAGGCCTTGCGTGGGGTGTGGGAGAACTGGCTGTTGGCAGAAGTTAAATACGTACTCCAAGGTGGCACCCTCTTCACATCAGATATTATCGTCTCATCTTCCCCTCCAGGGGCAAAAATCTGCCGTTTACCTGTAGGTGATGTTAGTTTGCATTCCCGCCAGGACAGGGCCTGTTTCTCCTAATTCCAGTCTCCTGACTGACTTCAAATGAATGGTGCAGTGCTGGCTGTGCCAAGCTTGGACACACATGACAGCACCTTGATGACACAGACAAGAACCTGACGAACTACTGTGGGGTGGTGAGGCCCAGGAAGAGAGTCTGTGTTCAGGCCTGCAGCCCAGAAGCGACCTTTGTTCCCGGAAGGATCCCTTCCTACCACGTTGAGTCTCTGTCCCCTTCTTTGCTTCTCAGAAACTGGGTGTCTACAACACCAGCAAGGCGGCTCTGCTGGGCCTCTGCAAGTCTCTGGCTATAGAGCTGGCTCCGAAAGGCATCAGAGTCAACTGCTTAGTGCCAGGGATCATCAAGACCGACTTCGGCCTGGGGGTGAGAATGGCACCCCCCCCATTTCATCTCTCTCCATGTGCCTTCTGGCCCCTTTTCAGCCTTCCGTCTGAATGGAGGTCCACAGAGCCTGGACTGGCAGGGTCACAGGTCGGGCAGCAGCCCGGCTCTTTTGTGCAGAAGAGTGAGGGTCTCCATCTCCTTCAAGCAGACCAGTGTTCCTTCCATCCTCCCACAGAGGTGTGGGTCAGCCATGATGCTGTTCTCACCCCATCATGTCACCAGTCCTCTGCCTAACCCTGGCCCTGAAATCTCTCTCTAGGAGAAAGCAGTGCCAAACCTGCTGCCTGACCTGAATAAAATCTACGGACTGCAGCGGTAGGTGGGGCTCGGGCTCGGTGCTCTGTGCTTCAATTTAGGGAAAATTATATTTCAAGGTGAAAAGGGTTTCTTTTTTTTCCTGCCACTCTGCCAGCTGCCTCTTCTTCCTGGGTTGGGGGCAGGAGGGCGGGTGTGAGTCCAACAGGTATCACCTCCCCTGAGGCTGGCGAACGCTAGGTGCCCCTCCCGGACTGGGTCAGAGCTCAGTGTTTGCTGTGACTTCATCTCTTCAGGTTGGGGGAGCCAGAAGACTGTGCTGGGATCGTATCTTTCCTGTGCTCCCCAGATGCCAAATACATCACCGGGGAGAACATCGTAGTAGCTGGCTTCTCCCCTAAACTGTGAAGATGGGTGTTGAGGGCCTCGCCTGGAGAGCAGAGGGCTCGGTGGGAAATATGTAGGTAAAGAGCCTACATCATATCGGGAGCACTCACTTAGAAATGGTGAAGGGAGGCGGGTGTTTAACGTTCTATTCGGAATAAATTTGTTTGGATACTTCTGGACACGCTCTTGTTTGCTTAGAGATACACACAGCCCTCTTGACATAGAGGCTTCGTCCTTGGGTTACTGCCTTTTCTTGTCACTGTCCTTCATGCCCGACAGTTTTTTTTAAACCCCTGCCCCCCTGCCCCTGCCCCCCTGCCCCCTGTCCTCCCTCCCCCTGCCCCCTGCCCCCTGTCCTCCCTCCCCCTGCTCCCCTCCCCCTGCCCCCTGCCCCCTGCCCCCTGCCTCCCTGCCCCCTGTCCTCCCTCCCCCTGCCACCTGCTCCCTGCCCCCTGTCCCCCCTGTCCCCCCTGCCTCCCTCCCTATCCCCTGGCCCCTGCCCCCCTGCCACCTGTCTTCCCTCCCCCTCCCTGCCCCTCTTCCCCCTGCCTTTATTCCTTTTCTGTGAGGTTGGAAAGCGGCTGGCCCCTTCCCACCTGCTCGTCCAGGTCTAACCCTTTACTTGGTGTTTGACTCTGTGCCCTAGCACAGTCTGTGGGGATATTTCACAGTATCCTTTGAACTATGACCTTTGACTTCTGGTTTACAGGTGAGTTTGGTCAGTTGGAGGCAGATTGGAGGTCAGGATGAGGAGGTTACAGAATGTATTTATTTCCCAGGCTCCCTTCTTTTTTTTTTATGAACCTAATTCATAATTTTATTAAATAGATATACTGATATCTATAACCTCCCCAAACAAAGAGCAACATCCATAGAAATCTTGGACCCTCTACAAATATCTTTTTTTTTTCCCTATGTGTTTCTTTTTTTTATTTATTTATTTTTTCTTTTTTTTCTTTTTTTAAAAATTTTAAATAGCTTGTTTTACATGTCAATCCCAGTTCCCTCTCCCTCTCCTCCTCCCGCACTCCCCTTCCACCCTCCCTCCCACCCTATTGCCAAATCCTTCCACATAGGGGATGTCTAGAGTCTATCATTTTACTCTTGGTAGGGTCAAGGCACTCCCCTAAGAGTCCAGGCTGAGAGAGCATCTCTCTTTGTGCTATAGGCACATAAAGACAGATTGTATACCAGGGATAGACACTGATCCACAGCTCAGAGCCCCATAGGTTGTCCAGGCCTTCTCACTGACACTCACATTTGGGGGGTCCAGATCAGTCCCATTCTGGCCTCCCCCCAGGATAGTGCCAGTCTGCACTTCCACAGATAGAGAGTCTGGGAAACAGGAAAGAACCTAAAAGATATGCATATATGCATAGTACCCAAGAGAAGAGGATGGAGACAAGATCCTCTGAATGGATGGGGAACAGGGCGAGGGGGGGTAGTGGGACCTGGGAAGAATAGAGGGGGTAAAGAGGAAGGGAGTTGGTCATGGGGGAACAGGAAGTTGAGGGGGTGGGGGTAGAATAGGGGGAAGAGGGAATCATAGGATCGAAGACAGATCAGGCACCAGAGTGACCTCGAGTGATCTAAAGGTATAACATCAATTGGCAAGCTAAGCAATAGTGGAGAGACCACCTCGAATGCCCATTCCTGATAATGAACTTGATGTCTATAACTATCCGGGAGCCTTCATCCTGGGACTGATGGAAGCAGAGGCAAACACACAACTAAGCACTGAACTGAACCCAAGGAACCCAGTGACAGAGAGAGAGGAATGATGAGCAAATTGGCAAAGAATGGGCTGGCAAAACCAGCAGAGACAGCTGATCTGAACAGGGGAGTGCTCTTGGAACCCAGGCTCCCTTCTTATGAGGTTGCGGTGTCAGGCGACACCCCCAACAGGGTAAAATTCCATAACTTCTAACTTGTGTCTTCTGGCCCAGGTACCATAATGGCTTGTTGGGTGCTAACTAAAAATTAGCCGCTTATTTGTAAAGGCCTTAAAATCATCTTGAGATTTTCTTTTTAATTCATATTACATTGTATATTGATCAGATCAAGGCATGTGTGACCCTTCCAGAGAAGGTGTGAACAACGTCCATTCCCTCTAGGCGCGGCACAAGAGACGACCCCGGCAAGTCTAGCAGCTTACTGAGTTCACGTACAGGGGCCCGGGTGACTAAAAGGCAGGCCCATCCCTGAGCTCACCCAGGCAGGGGTGGTGACCCTCCAGCCCGTCCCTGGAGCTCACCCGGGCAAGGTGGTGACCCTCCAGCCAGTCCCTGGAGCTCACCCCGGCGTGGGTGGTGACCCTCCAGAGATGCATCCCTGTAACTCCCTGCCTGCCTGCAGGCTCTCAGTCTCCTCTCCTCAGCAACTGTTCCTGCATACAGCTTCAGGGAGAGGCCTTGTGAAACTCGTACTTTTAGGAGTTTCCTGAGTCATGTAAGTTGTGTGAGCTTCCCTCCTCTCTCCAGCAGGAAGTGTTATACAAATGGTTATAGAATATCAGGTGATTGACATATCCATCGCCTCAAACGTTTGTCATTTCTTTGTGGTGAAATATCCAAAGTCCTTCCTTCCAGCTACTTTGAGACATACAATACAGTATCTCGCATTCTTTCTCAATCCAGCTTCATACTCACAGGCAACACAATCTCATTTCACACTTCCCAGGTTTTCTAGCCCCTGGCAACCGTTATTCTACTGGTTTATAAGGTGGAGTATTTCAGATGTACACAGGGTGAATTGTATAGCGTTACCCTTTTTATGTCTGGTTTATTTCAGCCAGCACAATGTCCTCCAGCTTCATTTACAGTTTTGCATTGGGCAGGAATTCACAGTTCATAGCTAAATGGCACATGCGATATTCTTTACCCTTCACACACTAACGGACACGAAGGTTGATTCACATGTCCTAGCTCTTCTGAATGGTTCTGAACGGAGCTGGGGAGTACAGATAATCCTTTACTGTGCTGATTTTATTTTCTTTGGCTGTATACTCAGTAGTGGACTTACCGGGTGATGTGGTAAGTACTCCTCCAGTTCAGGCCTTTCTTAGAGAACTGCCACACAGTTTTCCATAATGGCTACGCTTAAGTAAATTCCCACCAATAATACTTCCCCCACATCCTTGTCAGCACTTACCTTTGTCTTTTTGATATAGCCATCCTAACTAGAGAGAGATGCCATCTCATCAGGGTTTGGGTTTGCGGTTTCCCAATGACGAGTGATATAACCTGAGAAATGTCTATGAAGGTTTATTTGGCCATTCTTTTTTTAAAATTTTAATTTAAGTTTTTATTGGAAATACTTATGTATAATACATTCTGATCACAGTTTCCTCTCTTCATTCCTCTCACCTCCTCCTTCACAGACTTCCAACTCCATGCCTTCCTCTTTCTCCTTAGAAAGCACACAGGCAAACAAGAAAACAAACAAACCAGAAAAACAAGGAACAAAGAGAAAACACGAGAAACACACACACACACATACACACACACACACACACAAAACCCTACAAAGTTGGAAACCATAATATACAATCAAAAAACCATTAAGATAAAAAAGCCCAAACAAAGCAATATGAGACAAAAACATCTATAGAAACGCCATCAAGTTTGTTTGTGTTGGCCATCTACTGTAATGTGTAGTCATCCTGCCAGCCGCTTGGGTCCCACTGCTGTCTCAGCCCCCAAATAACACATGAGACACTGTATTAATTATGAAGCTGTTGACAGTTTGCTTGGTTTCTTATCTGCTAGCTCTGACTTAATTATTAACCCATAACTTCTAATCTAAGTATTTCCATGTGGTTTTCTCTTACCAGAGAAAGGATCCAGACCTCTTACTCCTCCGGTGTCCTATGTTGTGACTGACTGTGCCTCTGTTTCCCAGAATCCTCCTCGACTCCTAGTCCCACCTAGCTTGCTTCCCTATTGGCCAGCAGTGCTTTATTCATTAACCAAAGATAGACATATACACAGAAGGTTTTCCCCAATCAATCTACCATTAAGCATTGGGCATCCCTCAAGTTGCTTTGTATGCAGTGGGACACCATTAGGAGAAAAGTAATTTTTCTTTGCAAACAGCCATCAGAGATGGTAGGACCTCTTCTGCTTGGACCTGTGTAGGCTTTGGCCCATTTTTTCGTTATTTGGTTTTGGTTTTTCAAGACAGGGTTTCCTGTGTAGTTTTGGCTGTCCTCGGACTCGCTATGTAGACCAGGATGTACTCAAACTCAGAGATCCACCTGCCTCTGTCTCTTGAGTGCTGGGATTAAAGACGTGCATCTCTGCCACCCAGCCAATTTGGCACATTCTTAAGGGTCCTGAATGTCGAGGTGTTGAAGGGGAGGACTAGAGATGAGGAATAAAGACAAAAGCTGAAACTGGGACTAGGAGGTCTTGCATAAGCTGAGGACCATGCTGAGCAGGTTCATCAGGAAGTACAGCATTGGAAATAGCTTTGAAACTGGGTCAGGGCTGTACCTAAAGGACGATCAGGGCTCATAGGAAGGACAGCATTAGCCTCCTCAGAAGCTATCAATCTAAAAGTTCATGAGCTGGAAATTGGTGGAAATAAGGACAGGGAAGGTCACTTAGATGACGTCTTGTGTTGAGTAGCAGTTTCTTCCGAAGTTAAATTTAAGACATAAGGTGTAAAAAAAATGAAACAGCAGGATTATTTTAAGACAGGATGTTTATGTGTGTGTGTGTGTGTGTGTGTGAGTGTGTGTAGCTTTCTATCCTTTAGGGAAGCTTGTTAAGACAGTAAGTGAACAACTCAAAAGTGTCTTCAGGAAGCCCCTGAAACTGACCAGATTCACCCCCGCCCCCAAGAGTATAGAAACAGAAAAGAATGCTGGAAGTCACTGTCAAGCAAGCTAAGAAGCATGGAAGAGGCCCAGACCAACTGAGTCAGCTAGAAAAGACTTTCCAACCTGTTGAGCTGCCTGTAAGCTATGCAGCGTGCTCCAGCTTTTGTGAGCTGTCACCTATGCTGGGGTGGCTTCTGGTGACATAGCTGTCTTTGAGGCATTTCTGCTCCTGTAGTACCCCTCACTTATTTTCCTGTAAGTAACCCCAATAAAACTCATTGGTTCAATAAGTTGGACTTTGGTGGTATCTGTGCTTTGGTCTGTGGTCAGTTTGCTGTCTGGGGTGAATACATGTTT